GGAGCCCCATGGCAGTGGCCTCACTCTGGTACCAGCCCCGCCTGGGCAGGTGGGTTTTCCTCAGTTTTGGTCACATGCAATAGTTGAATTGATTCTAAAAAGACAGAAGGGGCTACAGGAAGGACAGTAGTGAAGAGAATGCGCTACAACTGAGAGCAGCCTGGCTGGAAATCAAGAAACAAAATGTACTTGGACTGAATCCAGTGCATGAGTTAAGTTGAGAGCAAAGAACACCATTCAAAGGAGGGGAAAATCCTCTCCCTGCACAGTAACACCCAGGGTTCGTGCTCACACCACACTAGCTTTTCTCAGAAATCCCTGTACATTGTGCCTTCATTTATTTCAGGAATTCAGTGGGCTTTCTTGATCATGTGGGAACTGCTTACTCCCTTATCAAAGGATTTACAGGGTTGTGCAGAGAAAGAGAGAGACAGAGAGAGGGAGAGAAGGAGAGAAGGAGGGAAGGAGGGGGAAAGAAAGAGAGGGAGGGAGAGAAGGGGAAAGAGACAGACAGAAAGAGAGAGAGACAGAGAGAGAGAGAGAGAGAGAGAGAGAGAGAGAGAGAGAGAAAGAGAAAGAGAGAGACAAAGAAAGAGAGAGAGAGAGACAAAGAAAAAGAGAGAGAGCCAGGTCATCACCCACTGCTTTGCACACTCCTCCTGCCAAATATGACATGTGGTTCTGCTGACCAGGAGACCAGGTCACTTCTGGTGCTTAGCTTCCCTCAAAGGAGAACATATCTTCAGATGAGATTGGGTCCCAGCTCAAAGACCCTGCAAGGCTCAACTACACAGACAATATGGCTTGCAGCTATTCTCAAGCTGAGCTTGGGGCCTCATGACACCATGTTTGGAGGGATTACCTTCTATGGTAATGAGTTAAAGACTCTGCATATTGCTTAATATGATCTAGCAATCATATTGGATCAGAGTCCAACTGGGGAGAGAACATAGCTTATGAAAAGAGGAGCCACACTCTAGCAATACCCTAGCATGGGTGGTGCATGCCTGTCATCCCACTTACTTAGGAAGGTGAAACAGGAGGATTACAAGTTCGAGGACAATCTGAGCAATTTAGTGAGACCCTACTTCAAAATAAGTATTTTAACAAGGGCTGTGATTGTAGCTCAGTGGTGGAGCATTTGCATAACATGAGTAAGCCACTGAGTCTCATGCCCAATATTGAAAAAAAAAAATCAACAAAAAACATAGTACATACGAAATGTGAACGAAAATAAGTTCAGATGGAGCTCTCAAAATCTTCACCTCTGAAGCTTGCATTCTTTCTCTACTTGGTGAAGTCATCCCCACAAATGCCCAATCCAGAAATACCTACATCTCCCTCATCATCCTACTTAGCCAATTTAGTGACCAGATCCTGTCCACTTTATGCCTTTTAGCACATCTTGAATGGGCTGCTCCTATCCTACCCCACCACCCTCAGCCTGTATCACAGCACCTCTCCAAGTGATCACCATGCTGCCATACATGCCCCACTCAGTCTCTTTCTGGAGTTGTCTTTCAGGATGTAGATTTGAGCATGTCACTGCTCTAAAGGAGCCAATAGCTCTCCATAGATTTTAAGACAGAGCTCAGTCTCCTGAACATGACATATAAAATCTTTATATTGCAGTTTTTGTTCACTTGCCAAACTTCTTTTTCAGTGATGTGCTGGCAAATGTTTAACAACCACGTCTCAAACAGACTACCGTGGTGTCAAACAACTCATACTCCTCCTACAACAACAGTGAACTCGCAATGTCCTGGCAATTTCTCATTCATATGGTCCTTTGCATTCTCTCTCTGTCTCTGTCTGTCTCTGTCTGTCTCTGTCTGTCTCTCTCTCTCTCTCTCTCTCTCTCTCTCTCTCTCTCTCTCCCCAGAGCAATTCCTCCTGCCTCTCTGGTGCTTCTGTTTGTTGGCTTACATGTCAACCATTCACATACACATCCATTACTGTACTCTACCAATCCTTTGGGTGGTTCTTATTCAAATGAAGTGGATACATCATAATTAACAATTACAAATGTCACTGTGTTCTGAGAATGGATGAGAGCTGTCACTCTAGGTACTTCAAGGGAATAAAAACAATGTTCTATTTATGTGTTCACACTGCCTTACATTCTCCCTGGTTTTCAGCAACAATCAAAATATACAATACAAACAGGACTAGGTTTTACTAGTTACATTCTATGTTCTTACAAAACAGATTCGAGTTTGTGAGTAAGTGTTCTAATGTGACAAATGCTATAGACCTTCCACTGAGATGCAGACCAAACTCTGGGAAGGACAGAGAAGTTAGCAAGAACTTCATTTGAGAAGAATTACCATACTTATCCAATTATCATACAGGATACATTTTGAATTTAAACTATAGATAAACAACTAATGTTTTTTTAGTATAGGGATGTTCCATGCAATGTTAAGAAATACTGATGGTAAAAAAAAAATGTATTAATTTGTAGGAAAATGAATGCACCTTGAGACCACAATGTTAAGTGAAATAAATCAGTCACACAAGTTTAAATGTCCAGTAGTCTCTCTTACATGAGACACTTAATTTATAAATAAAGGGAATCAAGAGTTGGAGGGAAGGGAAAGGGGATGAAAAAGGAATTGAGGGATGTTATGTCCATGTACCAACCTCACACAAGGAACGTAAACATTACGTACTACAAACATATATTAGTAATATTTTTAATTTTAAAAAACACTGATGGGGCTGAAGGTTTAGCTCAGTGGCATAAGCGCTTGCCTTGCAAGCAGGCAGTCCTGAGTTTGATCCCCAGTACCGATAAAAAGGAAAAAAGACAAAAAAAAAAAAAAAAAAAAAAACACTGACAAAAAGTATTCATTTATCTGAAATTCATATTTTCTAAGTGTTCTATATTTTACCCAGAAACCCTATCCTAACCAGGGAGTGGTAAGCAAAGTGCACAGGACATGAAAACCTGCCAGGCATCTTTACAATAGTCTGCTTACAGCACAAAGTTTATGCCCACAACAGATGAACAGCCAAACAGAAAGAGAACATCAAAATTGAAATTGAGGTGACTAGAGAGGAGATGAATACAGTTTTTCAGACATGTATTCAGAGTTCAGAAGTCTTGAGCTGGTCCAGAGCAAGTCCAGAAGATAGGATGGATTCTAAGAGTGCATGGGGAAGGGTGCTGATTAACAAATCATCAAAACCTTAAGATCTGAGAGGAGAAAGCTGATTGAACAGAGCAAATGGAGGAGGATAAGCTCCAAGGAGACAGGTCAAATTTGAGATGAAGGTAGGAACACCAGGAAGCAACACATAACAGCATTCAAGGTAGGACACAAGTGCCTGGACACAACAGTGATTGAGACATGTGACCGTGATCTTCCGCAAGAACTCTCTGTCATTCATGTGCTCCCTACCCATTAGCTCTCTGTCATTCACAAGCTCTCTGTCCTCACAAACACCCCAAAACCTAGCAGGACACAGCTGCGTTAACAGATTCCAAGACAGCTCCTCATTCCAGAGCTCTCAAGGATCCGGCAGGCCACTGGGGAGAGAGCCTCCTCCTCCTCAGCTTCCTGAGAGAACGCTTGATGCAGGTCACTATTCAACATTCATAAAATAGAGCAAAGCACTTTTTCAATCACTCATCTCAGTGCACTATAAAGTTTAAACTTAATATGCTTCAAATGCATAGCCGAATGAGGCAAATTGTTTACGTGTGTGAGTATGGTGGAGGCACAGTTTGTGGAAAAAACAGATATAAAAGTGCTTCAAAGGTACAACATGCTATGCAAATCCAAGAATATTATTACTCGCACAAACTCTGTCTACAGTATTTCTGAAAATAATTACCCATCCTTTCAAAATTATCTGTGTTCTGCCAAATACCTTTATATTTTCAAACAAATTCAGTCATTCTGCAACACTTCCTAAGCCCCTCTTCCCTTTCTTTTACTCAGCACTTACTATCCTCTATTTTCCCATATATGTGGTAACTTAATAATTTTGTGTTTCCCCTGATCACTCACAAAAATGTATCTGTCTTGACTGCAAGAATTTGCGCCCGTTGTTCTCACAGGTCTATCCTTCCATGCCCCCAAACAGTGCTTGTGTCTGATTGGATGGACCAACTTTAGTTTTCAAAGGGATGTCTGAGCACAGATAGTTTTCAGTAGCAGGAAGTGTCCCGAAAAGACAACTGTGGAAGAAATCTCAGAATGTCATGCAACTAAGCATCATGAAAACTCAGAGACACTGTCCATGTGAACAACTTTGAGTGCTCTAATAATCACGCTGTATGATACTTATGTCCTTCCTGGCAGACAACATGCTTAGTTTCTCAGATAACTGTCTGATATTGCTCTTCTACCTAAAGGCTTCAGAGTTTTGACCCAACCCTGCTGAAGACTGACTTGACAAAGGCACCCCATGGACTGTGCTATCCTGGCCTCCTGGGATCATAGGTTTCAAATACCAAAGAAGAGTTACATTTAAATTCAAATTCCAGAGCTCAGCATGCCTACTGGAGCATTCTGTGTACCTGCTCCTTCATTCCCATAGCAATCCTAACTACCACAGAGTGGAACTGGAACCTCTTTGCACATGATTCCTGCCAGGCCAATGGAACTGAAAGAATTCCCACTCAGCTTCCCAGCATGAACAGGCATCCCTAATGCAGACAACCACACACAGAAATACGCTGCAGCTGAAGTTAGGATGAGCACTGCATCCAGCTGTACTCTTAAACCCAGATGCTGTGCACCCTGCTTAAATAATGAAAAGGACTGGCAAGCCTGAGAGATTCAGTGCTGAAGTCCAAGAGGCTGTCATGTCTGAGTGTGCGTGGTCTCTCTGAGAGGTTAGCAGGATATAAAGGAGAATGGAGGGGTCCTACCTAAAGAAGGACAGTCCTAAATAGCTGACCCCTTCCTAGAGTCTGGTTTCAAAATGATAGTAAGAATTAGCAGGGGTAAGAGGAGCATGAAGCCCACAGGGGGCAAAGTGGAGTGTACCTGAGGAAATCCTGGGCATGGCACCCAAACCCCAGCAGATCTGCACGATAGGATGTCTGTGCCTATCTTCTCCTGGATCCTTCAGCTTGTTGCCCTTTTTCTTTCTCTCCTCCTGCTTGTCAACTTCCTGGCCATCCACAGAGACTAGGAAACAGGCTCCATTTTTTTCTCCAACCTGAGGACCTGCTTCTGCAAACCTCTCTGTCCTCCAAGATTCTCAGCTTCCCAGAGCCTTTTTGGCCCTCTTCGCTTCTCCTTCTTGTCCTCTGCACATTCATCACAGTTTTTTTGGCCTCCTAATTAACACCAGGCATGAAGCCGAAAGGTTGGGGTTTGTAGATAGTTACAACCAGAGCCTCTTCCCTTCCCTCGGGAGAGGGAAGTCTGACTCGATTTAAGCCCTAATCCTCTGTGCCAGTTTTGACCTAGTTCCCATTATTTTGTATTTTTCCATATTAAATCAAAGAAGTCACTTGCTAACCTGCATTTATCTTATTGGCTCTAGCTCTCCTATTGTGACTCAAATGAAGGCCTGATGGAAATAAAACTCTCCAGGCCAGTTCCAGGGACTCATCCACTTTCTAAGTGTAGCCTCAAGACTAACAGGAATGTCCCTTGTTAAAATTCTGGAGGCATTGGTTAACTAGACAAAGAGTTCTGTAACTCACTGCCCTCCTCACCCACTCCCTACAAAAATCAAATGGAAGAATAAAGCTAACTACATCAAAAATATGGAAAATATGCAGATGAAGCTTTCTCTATGACTGCTCGGTCTACCCTTGCCTGGGTGGCAAAGTAAGAACAGCTGATGAAAAGGTTTGTATATAAGGATGATGAAGAAACTGAGCAAGAGAAGGAGTGTGAAATTTCAAAAACCTGAGGAGAATAACGAGACATTCATCTGATGCATATTTATTTAATCCTCTAGTCTTGCCTTTGGTCCTAGATAACTGGACATGCAACTGAAAAGATCACAAGGTGCCACTTTGGAAAATATTATTTCTTGAAACATGCATGTGTGATTATGAGTCTGGACAAAGGCACCTTTGGGATAAATAATCCACAGACTGGTTTCCACCCCTTTCCAGGCACATTTCAGAAAGAATCACATGCCCTGTGTTTGTATCACAAATCTTTTGAGAAACAACAACCTTCAAGTAGTTCTCAGTATTACTTTAATATGTTATATTTTGCTTTTGCAAAATGTAGGGAAACATTTGGCTTCTTAGAAGTATTCTCACCTGCTCCTCCTGGCCTAAAAATAAACCAAGCTATTTCACATCTGACCAATTGGAACAGTAGGGCACATGAGGCTCTCTAAGAGCACACATTCCAAAGAGTCCTGTCAGAGTGGATTTGTAATCTCGCCAAGGTGGTAACTGTCTTGCCCTGTCTGTAGCCACATTACATTATGCAATCCAGAGACATCATCTGATACCGGCAAGAAAAAAAAAAAAAAACAGAATCTAGTGGGTTTGATGCCCCACAAAGAGAAAATGGTAGTTACTTTTCTAATCCTGCTGATATATTATTTAATTTTCCCAGTGTCACAGAGTACCTAGCAGATCCACCTAAATCTGAAGGCCATGCTATCAAATAAGTTCTTTAATTATATGCATAAAAAGAATACAAACAACTATAATCTCACTCATTCAGAGAAAACTTAACAAAACTTCTTGCATAAGCATACATTCTATATATATCCACAATTTAACAACAAAAAAGAAACTGGAGATTGTGCTTAATTATCTGTTTAATGCATAAACTTTCTGTTTTCACTTGAAATGCATTGTAGAGGTCTCTTTCACATCAATTAATACATCTCTACCACATGATATCTAATGTGTTCCTATGACATTGAATGTTAGCATTTTACCATCTTTGTCAATTAGGAAGAGAAAATACAAGATCCTATTAATGTATTACTTGCTTTTCCTTAATTATTATTAGTACAGAACATTTTTCATATACTTTTTGTCCTGGATATTATTTCTCTTTTGAAATCCATAGTTTTTCTTTAAGATCTTATTACATAGTAATTCTTTTTCAAAGTAATGGATCATATAGATTACCCTGTTTTTCTTCATTTGTTTCTAATTTTTAAATATTTTTAGTTTCAGAGAATTTAACTGTTTTCTCATCTTTATTAATTTCTGGTATTCATACATCTTTAAATAATCTTCACTTCAAGTTTATAAAAGCACAATGTAAATTTTTTATTGTATCTCCAAACATTTATTACATTTAAATGCTTAGTATATGTTACATCTGTTAGCATAAGTCACTCTATTTCTTACAATTTAATAGGCCAAATTTCATGTTTATAAGATAATCTATCAATTTGTAACTCATTCTAAATAATTTATTTTCTACCAAAACTTTATAAATGTTTATTTCTAGAATTATTGCTCTATTTCATAGACTTTTTTCCTGAGCTGTTTTAATTTATTATATTTTAATTATTTATATTATTTTAATTATTATAGCTTTTAATTTTAATTATTATAGCTTTATAGGCCATATTAACATCTCAGAGGGCGAAATTTCCTGTGTTAACACCAATTGTTTGATGATGCAAATGCTTTTACAAATTACTCTATTCCCTTCCCCCAGACAAGATATTATGTTTAAAACATTGTTAAACTATTAGCATAACCTAGAATTGGTAGTCTTACAATTTGAGTAAATGATTCTTTCCAAGAAAAGTAAGGTGTTTATTCAAGTTTTCTTTTGTTTCTCTCAATAATGCACTCACTTTTTATATAGGTAATAATGCCTGCTATTACATGAATTGTCTCTTCTTCTGCATGCTATATTTTATAACTAGTTTCCATGGTTATTGCTACCCCATAATGTAGGTAAGCAATCCTTCGGCATTATGGATCCTAAATAGTGTTATTAATAAATACCATGTTATCAAAACACACTGTAAATTTTTTCTTGTATCTCAAAACTGTTTTACATTTAAATGCTTCATTTATGTAACATTTGTTGACATAAGTGTGTTTATTTCTAACAATTCAAGTTGCACCAGCTGTGCCCTCCACCTAGAAGTTTTATTCTCAGGTAGCAGCTTTACTTGATCAATCCTCACTCACTTGAAGCATGATCAAAGTCCTCTCTGACCATCCAGTCCTTAGTAGACCCCGTTACTGTTTTATCATAAACTTCTGTTTTATTTTTTTAAGATACTTGATTAACCAATTTATTTATCTATTGATTTATTTGTTCCTTAGGTATCACCTCTCTCCCATTTGTCTATCCGTGTCTCTCCGTAAAAGTGAGGTTTCAGAGAAGTCATAATTTCATTCTTGAACATTATTGAACTATCAGGGACTAAAAGAGTAACTGATACTATAGTGAGTGCTCAACAAACATCACAGAAGGTGAAATAAATGAATAAGCCAACAATTCTAGGCCTTCTAATCCATAATGAGCACTGTTTGGTGGAAGCAGCACACATTTCACAACTAGGTAGGATCATGTTGGCATCTCATACCTGGTTGTCATGTGAGGTCTAAGGAAAAATCCTCAAAGACTTAAAGATTAATTTCTTTAGTTGTATTAAGGGGTAGTTAATCAGTGCTTCATGGGACTGGCTCAAAAATTAAATGAGGAAACATATATAATGCAATAGTACAAATCCTGGCATACAGCAAAGTATTCAAGACACATTAGCCCTCCACCTATTCCTGAGCTCTTCATTCACTAAGCAGTGCTTTAATTATGTTGCCTTTTATAACAGAGGAGCTTGGAACTCAGTGACCAGAAAGTCCTATTGTTAAAACAAATTAAACTTCCAAGTTATGAGCCAAACAAGAAGTGCTACCTTCTGGGGTGAGTCTTGGGTGCAGTATGGTTTCAGAAATTCAGAAGGAGTAGACATTTCTACTCTCTACCCTAAAGTGGAACACAAAGTCCAAGACAAGGACAGTTTAACAAGTCAACAAATAACTGCTACAAATCAACACGATGTGGGTCGGTAATCTTAATATTGCATTAGATGGAAATATTCATTGCTCAGATTTCATGTAGTACATTGGAATTATTAAAGGGGTCACTTGGTCAGTCAGTCAGTTTGTCAGTTTTCTAAACCAACGCGCAGCATGTATCTTCCTAAGAAGTACTGGACACCAGAAAGCAGCTAGCACAGGCAGAGGCAGGATCAGCTAAGAGCAGCTTAAGAGTGAATGTCAAGAGCAGGCTCTTTAGTTTGAACTCTGCTTTCTATTTTATTAGCTGCATGAACTTGAGTAAGTTGCTTTTACCTTTCTGTGCCTCAAAAAATTATCTATAAGACGAGGATGATATTAATAACCCCTACATCCAGTTGTAATGAGGATCCAATGTGTTAGGATTTCAAAGAAACTCAGAAAAGTGTATTAAAACCTTTAGGTATCTCAAAGATGACTCAAGAGTGAGTGTTAACATTTTTGTTCTATGAACTTGTATCCTAAGTGGGACTGTGCAAGTGATGGACAGGGAGTTTCTTCACTTTGTCTCATGAAGTAGGAGGTAACCTGAGTTATACACTCACATTTACAAATGAAAACATGGTTACAAGCATATTAGTTAGAATCCCCCAGAGAAACAGAACCAACAAGAGAACTAGAGAAATGTATACAGTTGACCCTTCTCACCCATGGGTTCAACACCGTGGATTCAACCCAGTGCTGATCAGAAATATTCAGGAAATAGTTGCATTGAGCATGTACTGACTTTTATGCCCTCATTCCCTAAATACTTCAGTATTACAATTATTTAAATAGCATTTACACTGTATTGGAGTTCTGAATAACCGAGACATGACACAAAATATACAGAAATACTACATAGAATATAGGTATATACTACGCCATTGTATATAAAGGACTGGGACTGCAATAGATTTTCCTATCCTCAGACAGTCCTGGGTCAATTTCTAGGGTCACTGCAGGTACAGTGAGTCTCACCCCCACTGCCTGCCATCTGCAAAACAAAAAGCCAGCAATGAGTTACAGTAGTATAAGTCTGTCTGAGCCTACAGTCCACAGAACTCCGGACTTAAAGGTGTAACTCCCGCTCTGAGACAAAGGCCTGAGGATCTCTGACTCTGAAGGCCTGAAATAGGAGCTCTCCTGTCTGAGGCCAGGGAAGAATGATGCCCCAGCGGAGAGGAGTAGAGCAAACTCTGCCGTGGGTCAACTGGGGGTCTCAGTGGACTGGGTTATTTCTGTCTACACCAGTCAGGACAGCTTTCCTTAAATTCAAACGCTAATCTCTTCCAGAAACACTCTCACAGACCCAAAAGAAGGTTTTACTAGCTATGTGAATATTCCCAACCCCAGGCAAACTGATGCAAAATTATCTAACACAAGTCAGGCTTGGTGGTACATGCCTATAATCCCTACACCTTGAGGATGAGGCAAGAGAATGGTGGGTTCAAACTCAGCCTGGGCAAGTTAATGAGGCCTTTTCTCAAAATTAAAAACTAAACTTTTTTAAAACACAGAGGATATAGCTAAATGTAAAGATCCTTGGTTCCTTCCGCCTCACTTCTAAGGGAGGAAAAATTAGCCATTGCAATAAGTAAAATGAATAAAAGTATTGGTTCAATTTCCCTTTAAAATCAATACAGCACGCAACCATTGAGCCCTATTGTGCAAATTCCAGGCCTTCCTGCCACCTTCTAAAACTGTCAGTAC